TTCAAAGAACTAGGACTAGAGTTCCCATTTGATCCAGCTATTCCCCTGCTGGGTATCTTTCTAAAAGAATTAAAAGAACCATACCACAGAGATATATGCACACCCATGTTTATAGCAGCACAGTTTGTAATAGCTAAGACTTGGAAACAGCCCAAATGCCCATCAACTGGTGATTGGATAAAGAAAATGTGGATTTTTTTTTTTTATAAAATGGAGCACTACTCAGCCATAAAGAAAGAGAAATTAGAGACATTTATAGCTATAAACATATAGTTACTATATGCTAGTATGGCACATTGAGGCCATACACTTAAGTGAAATAAATAGGACACACATGTGTAAATATCAAATAGTTTCTCTGGTGTGAGAAACTGAAAGCATAAATGAGGATCAAAATGTAGAATAGATAATGTGAAATAGGAAGAAAAGGTCCAAAAAGGAAGGGTAAGTGGGAGAGGTTGGGGAAAGGAGAGAAGGGAATGGAATAAATATGAGAAAAGGAAAAAGCAGAAACAAAGTCTTTGTAAATAGGGAAAGGTGGAGGGGTTGAAGGGAGGGCAGGGGAAGGGGGAAAACATAAGAACCAAGATATATCATGTAAAGGTAAATATTCCCAATGATAAATGTCATCCTATTGTATACCTAAAATGTACCAATAAACTTAATGAACAAAAAAGAAAGATTCTCATACCATCTGGAGAACATATCTGCAAAGTACATGCTATTATTTCAGCTTTTCTTAAGAAGGCACTGAAATACAGAGAAAGAATTTCTCTAGGTTAGACACTAATAAATATATTTAAATGTCACTTAATAAAAGAGAGTCATAATTTATTAAGACATAGCCCTTATTGTTCCATCTCAAAATGTTTAACTCTCTCTAAGACTGCCTCATCATATATCTACCATATTTGCATGAAAAGTTAAGCATGGATTATTAAGCTCACCTTCCTCACTTTTCATTTACTTGTGTTATTATTTTTAAAATTCTGTCTCCATTTATTTCTGTTCCCTAAAATTCTGACTTTGCTCCTTTTCCCTTTAACATTTGAAATCACTAATGATCTATTAAACTAAAACTGCAGATGCAGCAAAGGTATCTACCATTTTAGATAAGTTTAAGTGTCATTTGAAACAATATTTCCAGTTCAATTGCTATGCAAATATTGATTTGCATACAGTTTTCTTTTTGAATTTTAAGATCACTTTTGCGTCATTTAACAAAACCTTGGCCAGTAGAATTAGAAGACAATTATATATCTATGGCAGCAAAAAAAGAAAGTTAAAATTTCTTGTGACCTAAAAGGTCAGATGATGTCAGTCATTATTTCCTTTAAGGGCCACTTACTGGAAAATTTAGCTTTCTTTAATGTTCTATGTTTACTCTAAAGGATTTTTAACCTTTGGATAGAATTGGGAAAGAGTTCCATAATTCTTTTTTAATGAGTTGAAAGGAGCAGACAGGCTCATTAAAGGGAGTTTGTTTCTTATTCTTCAGTTGATACAAGTATTTCTTTGAATTATCTAATGGCCGGAAAGCTTATCCTTTGAATCCCAAACTTGCCCTGCATACAGAGCACAAACTCCTCAAACTGCATGAATTCTATTACATTTACTGATGTTTTCCTGATAAAATGTATTCATTTCCTCTGAGTGCTGTAACAAATTACTATAAACCTGATGGCTTAAAATAGAAATGTATTCTTTTAGAGTTTGGAGGCCAGAAGTCCAAAGTCAATTTCACTGACCTTACAGTTAAGGTGTCAACAGTGCTGATTCCCTTTGGAGTTTCTAGGGGGAAATGTGTCCCTGCTTCTTCTGGCTTCAAAAAGTGACCTAGCATCCCTTAGCTGGTGACCATATTCACTCTAAACTTTGCTTCTGTTATCCTCTCTATTCTACTGTCTTACTCTTATTCATTCACATCAAACACATTCAAATAATCCACCATCTTTAAGCACAACTTTAAAGACTCCTTTGCTCTACCAGGTAATACTTACAGGTTCCCCGGTGTTTGCAAGTGGGTATTTTGGATGTGTGGATTGAATACCATTCTTCAGCTTTCAAAGTATAGCACAAGCTGAAAATATACGAATTAATGGAAGAAAAGATCCCTTTAGTAACTGAGTGAAGACCATGAAGTGTGCATGATTGTCCAAACCTTTCAGAGGACAATGCCACACATATAACATTGGCCCCGCCTCTCTGTTCAAGCCTTCCCTCCTTATGACCTTGATAATTGCCATGTTACTGATGTTATCTGCCCACTTTCTTCCAAAGACGGAGATTTAAAAGAAAGCTTCTGGAGAGGCATTATGTACTAAAAATAGTGGAGTCAATCAGGGTGAGAAGTGGTTACATAGGAATGTGATACTCTGAGAAAGTAAAAAACATTTAGAAAATGACTTCTGATTCTATATAAATTGTAGGATTTTTTTTTATCTAGGAACATGAGATATCGTTCCATTTTCTAATGTCCTCTTCAACTTCTTTACAGAGTAATACTATAGTTATAGATTATAGAGATCTTTCAAAAAAGATCAAGATATGATATGTGTATGTACTAATTTACTAGGATGATTATAATTATTATATATCACAAACATATACTAAAAAACAACAACCAAAGGAAAAATGGGAAAAATTTAATGAGATGAGCCATACCTTTACAAATCAAAGTGTTTTATTGTTTAGAATGTTAACATATCAAATACATTATGTTATAAAGTCTGATGCTTTGGCTATTTTTATGCAATTTTATGTTCTACATTATTTTACTGGTCTTAGACTTGTGTAAGTAATATAGATTTAAAATACCTTCTTATTTACTACTCAGATGGAAGTAGAGTATGTTGTCTTTACAGCTGACTAACTTATTTATTCTGTTGTTTTTCCTTGAACATTCTACAAAGAGACCTAAAATACACCACTAAAAATAACAGACTATGATAAAGAAATATGCAGGAAATAGAGTATTTTCAACATCTGGACTTTTGTATGCATCACTAGGACACCATAATTTACTAGAAAGTCAGCCATAAACTACCTTACATATCTTCCTTCCTGTTTTGAATACTCCAGCACTGAAATTTTCTGCACAAAATCCCACAATCTCGATAGCAACACAGTTTAATGAAAATATGGCAATCTAATCTTGACCCTTTTCACTTGAAATTTCAGAAGGCAACAAAATGACTTAAAGAGTTGTTTATTGTCTCTTTATATAATAAATAGTGACAGAAGTACTGAGAAAACTCAGATAAAAAATGTTTGAGGTGGACTGTGGAGATGAGAAGGTGATGTGGGGAAGAGGGAGAGGAGACGGCAGAGGGATATCCAGTTAAAAGGACGTAAAGAGGATCAAGATGCAATACATATATGCAACAATTCCCTAAGATGAATATAATTATTATGCATGTAAAGATACACCAACAATAGAAAATGTTTGGAGAATATCTGTATGCTTAAATTGGTTTGTATTTTTAAAATTAATTTTATTGGTACATTTTAGCTATATAATATAATGAGATTCATCATTGGAAATTTGTGCCTTTACATGATCTCTCTTGGTTCTTAGTTTTTCCCCTTCCCCCTGCCCGCCCTTCAAGCCTTCCATTCCTCCCTATTTACAAAGACTTTGCTTCCATTTTTTTCATTTTGGTCTGTGTTTTTAAAGGAAGCATAAAACGTCAAGGGAACTCTAATTGTCTCCTTAGCAGACAATGTCTTTATAAAACTATTCCTATAGCTTACCAAACCTGAAGAAGTCAGTACTGTCGTGTGCCTAAACTCATCACTCTTAATAAAGATATTGCTATTTCCAATCAATGGAGGCTGTAAGTGTGAATTATAGTTTATATTTTCAAGAACAAAATGTCAGTTATGAGTTTAAATTAAAATCTTATTTTTCCCTGTATTCTTCACCTCAAGTAGTGAAAAGTGCTATGGAATATGTGCAGTCCCTATGATACACATCTTATTCAAATAAAAACTTTAACCATAGGCATTCTCTTTTGTTAGTACAAACCAAAAATAACTTCAACACATGGAATCTATGTGAAAAAGAAATTAAATCAGGAATAAGTAAAACTTATTTGGGGGACAATATTATACATCTGACATCATTTGCATTTTACAGGAGGGACAGAGGAGTGCATGGTATGTAATCTTACCCAATTCAGGAGGTAAAATATTGAAAAACTGTATTTCTTTGATATTACATAGTATAGAAACTCTTTAAGAAATGGGCTTTATAGAAGGCTTGGTTGCTTAGCAACCAGTGACCCATGGGGACAAGTTCATTTTTAGCCAATTATAGTCATCAAGTCTCACTGGTATTGCTCTGAGTCATAGGTATGTATTTCTCCAAACATATCAGATGAGAAGTTATCATTGGTGTCTGTCCCAGCGCAGGTTAGAGAATAGCACCTATTTGGGGAAACGTACATCAGTACATTAATACATCAGAGCCTTACCCACTCTTTGGAGCAACAGTGAGATGGGGAGACTGTCCAGCTGGTTTCTGAATGTAGGATTAAATCGCATAGTGTTTTGCTGTAGTCAAAGAGGTAGAAAAATACAGCTCTTTGGCTTCAGTGAATCCTTGTTAACATTTTAATAACCATGCCTCAGAAACTCACAAGCACATGAACTCTTGTTAACTGCTTATTGACTGGTGAGAGTTAGCCCATTAACATTAAAATCACTATTCACCAAAGCTATGGTCTACTGATGATGAGTGTTAGGTGATGGTCAAAGTGATAATTACAGGTAGACACTCTGAAGTATCAAAATAAACTTATTTTTGTATAAGCATGAAGACATCATCAAATGTGTCTAAGCAATGCACTAATGAGATGTTGCTGTGTTACTGACCCAGGCAGAGAGAAGGAGGAGGGTTTGGAGAGGCTCCACACAATCACCAGGGAAGATATAAAGAGTCCTCTGGCCACAGCCACACCATATCTGCGTGGCGACCACTGAGCATGCACTCGGACTTCATGTCCCTTCTGAGCTACCCTGAGCTATGCGGTGCTGCATCCTATAGAACTCACTGTTACATCCCAGTGACACCTTCCATTGCTTTTTGCTCCAATGATGTAAGCTCTACCATTGGACACCACTTACCCAGTAGCTATCAAGGAAATCTCTGGCTCCTGGACCATTGTCAAGAACACTACTGTGACGTGCCAAGCTGTGATTCTCCCAGCTGTGAGCCCAAGACCTGTGCTACAAAGTGTGACCCGCAGAACTCCTGTGTGCCCTGTGACTCTCCAGGCCAAGTGATCACTGCCTGCAAAACTACCAACCTCAGATCCTGCCCCAGCTGCAGCTCATGCACTCAGACCAAGGGGTATGTATCTAATTGCTACAGGGACACTCTATGTGCGTCTAAAGCCTGCCAGACCCTTCACAATGGCCCCAACTGCTTTGGACAACTTAACTACTTATTTAAGAGTCCCCGACCTCTAAGCTACTGCAGACTTGGTGGTTTGGGGTATAGAAGCTATCAAACTCTTGGCTTTAATTCCAGTCGCTTTTCACCATCATGTTACACTGCCAGCAGATATCAACCTCAAAATCACTTCATGAAAAATCGCCGATATCTGAATTATGGACCTACGAGCTACCGACTGCTGAGCTACTTATCTAGGAATTTCCATTCTCTGAGCTGCCTACCCAGCAGCTTTCCACCTCTGAGATATTTATGCAGAGGTTGCAGACCTCTGAATTGTCATTGATCAACTAACAACCTCTATAAAACCTAGAAATTGTTCCATGGGGCAGATTCGACCAAGTTGTAGCATCTCTAATATTCTGCTGAATTGCTTTATGCATTTAAAAATTTTTGTTACAATAACTCTAGGGCTTATTAAGGACAATTGTAATTACCTGATAGATTTTTTTTGCTGTTTTGTTAATGCTCTTTGTGTTAAAGCCTGATCCTGAAAGTAGTATTATTTTTAAGATTGACTGTGACGGAGTCACGGAAGGGACTTCACAGGAAATATAACCATCACCGGCTTCCTTATTTTGATTGTCACTGTCATTTGCCTGCCAATAAGATTGTCACCTGCCTTTCCTCGATGAAGTAGGTAGGGTTTCTTTGGCTTGATGGCTGGTTCCCACATGAAAGTTCTTTCCGATGGTTTTATTTTCTAGTATCAGCTTCGTCAACTGTCTAACTAGTATCCTGCTAGTAAACTGAGAGATAACACCACCGTAAATATGTTGAATAGACTCTTTCATCCTTTCCTTGATTGATTTTAAAAGTGAGCAAATAGCAATGACTGACAAAAGCTCAAAAAGCAGAGGAGCAGCTACAAGGGATGGCACATGCCTGTAACCCCAGAACCCTGGGAGGCTAAGGCAGGAGGACGGTCACAAGTTTGAGCCTAGCCTGTGCAAATTAGTGACTTTGCAAGACCCATTCTCAAAATGAAAAATAGAAAGGAATGTGGGTATAGCTCATTGTGAAGGCTCTAGGTTCAGTCCTCGGTACAGGAGAAGAAAAACATCTTCAACAAATCGTCTCTTCCAAAGAAGATATAAAATACAGGACAGACTGTCACTTGACTTTTGTCCTCAACACCTGGGAGTAAGGCTCAGAAGTAACTGAAGCATAAAATTACTTGTTGAAAGAATGACAAAATGCTACATAGACTCTTGATTAGTTTTGTTCTATATTCAAGACTCTGCCCTGACAAATTACTGCGTTTGATTCTACAAAAGATCCTGATTCATCACTAATAAAGAAATCTTTATCTGGAAGAAATAGTTTTCCTTATGCTTTATTTTACATTCACTAAAGTTTTTAATATATGTCTGGAATATACATACATTGTTGTCAAAATGATAGTTTATTTTTATTTAGTTTTTAGTATAAATTAAAAATATGAAAAGTTCAATAGGAAGCCCAAGATTCCTGATTTGTTTTGCTATTGTTCTCTGTTTTAACATATTAAATGTATCTACCATAGAATGCCTGTGATTGATTTTTGACACAAAGAAATTTGGGGAAAATGTTTACAAAATAAACCAATTTAATAAAAAGTGCATAATTCTATGCATTTTTCTTACAAATTTGTGCACTATTAAATTAATTATAGATAAAATTTGAAAAGTTGAGTAGATTTAATACTGAACCCCTTGAGAAGTGATTTAACACCTATAAATTACTCACCAAAAAAATGAAAACAAAACTATATATCTTGCTGGTAAAAAATAAAATTGAAGATATTCTAAGTATTTTTGTAAGTAAAAGTAAGTCATGCTAAAGGCAAATAAAATGTATTTTGGAGACTAGTGTAACTGGAGATTAGAGTAGGAGGGAAGGATTTACAATATCAACAATCAGTGTCCTGGGGCTAGAGATGTGAAACCTTGCTTTGTGTCTGAGAGTCCCTGGGTTTGATGCTCAGCACCACAAAACAAAAATAAACAACACACAACAGTCAGTAGGTAAAACAGCATACATATGGAGCTAGCATTTTATTAATCATACACATGTGAGGACAAATGAACCACTCCTTTATGAGTTCTTTCACTTCTCAGAGAATTCTGTTTGCTGAAGAATTCTTTTTTATGTTAAGACAAATATAAAAATCTTTATAAACCATTTATTGACCATATAGAATTAGTTTCAGTCTGCAACATAGGATAGATGCTTAAGTATTTGGAAACAATCAGTGTGTGTCTGGGTTGAGTATTCAGTACTCCTTCTAATTAAATATACATTTTTTTCTCTTTACAAACTCTAATGATAGGCTTATTCCTTCATACATTGAGTGGAACTCTGGGGATATCAAGATTTATAGATCCTTTTCTCAATAACTGTTCAGAAAGGTGGTATGATGAAACAGACACAATAATTTCTTAACCATTTTAAGAACAATATAAAAAATTAAGGGGGGGCTGGGGATTTAGCTCAGTGGTTTCGCCACCTGCTGCGCAAGCGCAAGGACCCGAGTTCGATCTCCAGTACCAAAAAAAAAAAAAATTAAGGGGAAAGAAAGAAGATTAATTTTAACTGGAGGAGAAAGAGAATACTCAGTGGATGTTTATAGCTGCACAACCCATAATAGCTAAATCTCAGAAGAGGCATATAAGCCTGATACAGAAAAGTGGGTAAAATAAATGTAACATATGTACAGAATGGAGTACTACTCAGCTGTAAAAAAAAAAAAATAAAGAAGATATTTTGAGTCATTTATAGGAAAATGGATGAAGCTTCAGACCATAATGCTAAGTGAAATAAATCAGACAGGTTAAATAACACATGATTTCTATCATAAGATAAATAACTTAAAGGGTAAAATAAAAAAAATAGACAATAGGAAAGAGAGAGATAGATTTTGTGGAGATGGGAAGGGAACATTGGGGTGGGGAAGACAGGATAGTGGAAAGAGAAAAGAAAAGTAAAAATGATAAAGATGTAA